GGGGGGGCCAATGCCCCGGGGCCCGGGGGTTTGGGGGGCCCGCAAGCAGGGGGAAAAGAGAGAGAGAGAGAGAGAGAGAGAGAGAGAGAGAGAGAGAGAGAGAGAGAGAGAGAGAGAGAGAGAGAGAGAGAGAGAGAGAGAGAGAGCGTATGTTGGTATGTAATAGATATGCTACAGTAAAGTAAAGTGATTATATATGCCTATGTACATTGTATTTGTTGGGTTATTAAATTGCAGGTGAGAGTGGGTGGGGCTGGGGGTGGGGGCGTAGGTGGGGCCCGAAGGTGATTACTGCCCCAGGGCCCGACAAGGCTCTCGACGGCCCTGCCATCTTCGGTCTGGCCGCCACTGTATAATTACACGTGATTTATTGCCCAGCCACCAGCCCCAGGCCAGGGCCATCCACAGTCTGGCTACGGCCTCGGAATGGTTCTCAAAAATCCTGCCACCAGAGCCAGGATGAATCGGAATGGTTCCCATTCGTCCGGTTCCGAAATATCCTGTGACACCGGGAAGCCGAGAATGTTTAATTTTTAGTGTAATATAAGGTCTGCAGGAATATAATCACTAACAATAGTTGTAAAGTGCACAGTACGAGGAATATGCGGCGCAACATGTATTATCATCGCAATATAAATTATGCAAATATTCAATAATAATAATAATAATAATAATAATAATAATAATAATAATAATAATAATAATAAATATTATAATAATAATAATAATAATAATGATGATGATGATAATAATAATAGACAGGTTAAAAAAACCCGGCAATTTTCTTCGCTAATTTTACCTCTGACATCAGGATGAACCCCATCTTCAGCCGTAAATTATATTTATATCTCAACTTACATTCAAGGTAGATTTTATATATATATATATATATATATATATATATATATATATATATATATATATATATATATATATATATATATATATATATATATACATATATGGGTATTTTATTCATCAAAAGCAAGACAAATTTATTAGAGAACAAGCTTATTTAGATAATACTATAACTCGACCTATAATATTATGCCCAAAAATTGACGAGCGCCTGATTTCACCAGGTAGTGACACCTATATATTTCATAGGTTTTCTTAAGCAACTGTTGTATAGAGATACTCAAAGGTACGGAATAAAAAAAAGGGGGTGGGGAGGGGGGAGGTGACAAGTGGTCCAAAAATTAAAAAATTGGGGGGGGGGGGGGGGAGGAATAAAAGGGGGGACGGGGTGGCACATTCAACCTCCTGTACTAGTAGGAACAAATCTGTTTTATTTCTTCCAGTGGATAAACGAATAAGAGATCAGAATATGAAATTGTAGTGATTTTAGTTAGTTACTGTGACAGGGGGGGGGGGGGGGGGCTTATATTCTAACACCTTATACGGGGTGCCCACTACGGATGGGATTGGCCGATCGACCCGATCGTCTCAAAAACAAACGTGTTTGTTTTCAGTTTCAGGCGATGGAGTCGGGCGATCGGGCCGATCGAGCCGTAGTGAGCACCCCGTATAAGAGTAGAGAGTAGGATCGAGTAGGGGCGTTTCCTGTTTAAATTCCTGGTCAAGCGAAACATATTTCGATCCACCCCCACCCCCGCTCCGTAGACTACATAATATAATATCAAGATGAGCAAAATTATAAAGTTATGGTGAACTTTTCTCTTTTTTACGCTTTTTTCTTGTTGTTTTACGCTCGGAAAAATGTAAATAACGGAACCCTGCATTGAAACAACTTTACGAAGTTTTGACTTTAGGCCTACAGGTATAGGCATAAGCATATCATTGTCTAACAAATCGCTTCTGAAATTGGACATTTGTGGTGTAGCAAGCAAAAATACGTAGACTTAATTGAAAAGCCATGAATTTCTAGCCTGCCGAGGATTCCTGTCTTTGTATGTCTCAACCTCTGTTGTCATTATAACTGCATAACACTATTAATATTAACGAGTAGATCTAAAGTGTGCATTCATCATCACCACCCAGTGCCAGATCTGTGGCAGACATCGGCGATCATGGTTCTCCATTCACTCATTTGCTCGGATTCTCTCAAAAAAGCTATGTTTCCCTGATCTTACCCTGTTACCCATTTGTTTAGGTTCACCAAGTAGATTGTTCTGGGCCTACCCCTGCCTCGTTTGCCTCTAATTTTGCCAGTGAGAGCTAGCTGTTCAAGACCCTTATGTCTATTCAGGTGTCCCAAAACTGCATCTGTCGTTTCCTGGATTGTTTTTATCATTGAGCTTCCCACGTGGGCTTCATCGAGCACTAAATACGACCTCATTTTTTAAATATTTCTTTTCCTTCCACGATACCCTTAGCAGTCCTACC